TACTCCGGGTGACTCAGTGCGAGGCTAGCTTTCCATTGTAAAAACGAACACCGGCTGTTCATCAGATGAACTTTCGGGAATTGCGTTTATACAAGAAGGATGGCTTCAAACGTTCTCTGTGCGCTTTGTGGACTGATCATTGCGACTATAGTGAATGGGCAGAGAAGTAAGTCAAATATGTTTTCTTAAACTTTTATGGATGTGATCAAATTGAATTGTATAAAGTTTGTTTACGTTGACATGTCTATGTAAGGGCAAGTAAAAAGTACTTTAATAAATGTTTTATTCCGATGCGACATTTTAAATGCGAAAACTTTATTTCTCTCACTTTTAATCGCATGGGAATTCGTGTTTCATTTAAGATCATGGAATCATCGCATGTCCGCTGAAATTGAGTCTGATAAAAGGTTGCTTACAGAGTTGATTCCTCTACCAGCTGCCTTCTCACCGGTTCCGCATTCTAATGACCTTATTTCACTCCATCCATGCCCATGGGTGAGGACATACCTAATTGAATGGTGTAGCCTACTTGTAGTTGGCAATATAAAAAATTATTATAACTTCTTTACTTTCTTGAGAGGATGTATAAATGATTAGCCTAATTGGTGACTGAACTTGACAAAATAATTTCCCATTCCCAACACATTAAGAATTCCTTTATTGAGATAATTTTCTAGGGTGGCTCTTATTTACAATGACAGCCTACCCCGGCTAAACCCCGACGACGCTGGATTAGCAGTCCTTGAAGACTAACAAAGATGAGAATCCCTTGAAAAATATAACACTTCCTGATAACATGCATCAATCAGCTGCTTCTTCATAAATAGTATTTTACCATGGAAACTCAGACTGACTGTCTGATACTGTAGATTTAGTGCTGACTTGTCTCCAATTTCCTGCACTCTTGTCTCACACCTTTGTCTTACATCATTGTGTGACTCAATACTGACCTTTTGGTATCGTTTAACTGCGTTACAAAGCAGCTGAAGCAAAATGCAACTAAAAGAAGAATCCTGTTAAGTATGAATGATCAACCCCACACCAATCATAGCCTACATTATACCCATGATTAAAGTATTGTGGAATGCTGAGATAATGTAGCAAGAGCAATTGCAGGTCATGAAAAATGTTTGCATCCTTCCAACTGTTTGCCGTGAATGTTGAAAATGGTTAACATTTTCTCAATTAAGTACATTGCCCATGTGGTAACATGCTGAATTACAAAGTAACAAACCACATTGTCAACACCTGATTACACTGGCTAGACCTTTAACCCTTGTGTGACCTTTGAGCTCAAGAAAGAGGAAACTATAGGCTTGCATCTTATTTAACTCTTTATCTTGACATAACTTCAATGAGTAAATGTATTGATGTGAAGATGTCAAAGTGATCTATTATTATATCCCTGCAACCTGCCAAGCATTGTCAGAGTAACCCTAACTCTGTAAAGTAACAGGTTTATCATTACATTATTTACAAGTTTGTTTAGTGCCGTGATCACCACATTGAATTTACCATCATGTTTTATTCTTTACTGAGTTTAATTAACATTGCAGACCTTTTCCTTCAATACTTCACCTTACATATATTTATTTACATGTGCATTCAGAAAGTATTCAGACCCTTTTTTCCACATTTTGTTATGTTACAGCCTTATTCTAAAATTGATTAAATTGTGTTTTCCCCTCATCAATCTACACACTACCCCATAATGACAAAGCAAAAACAGGTTTTTAGAAATGTTTGCAAATGTATTTTTTTTAAACACCCGGAAATATTACATTTACATAAGTATTCAGACCCTTTACTCAGTACTTTGTTGAAGCAACTTTGGCAGCAATTACAGCCTCGAGTCTTCTTGGGTATGATGCTACAAGCTTGGCACACCTGTATTTGGGGAGTTTCTCCCATTATTCTCTGCAGATCCTCTCAAGCTCTGTCTGGTTGGATGGGGAGCGTCGCTGCACAGCTATTTTCAGGTTTCTCCAGAGATGTTAGATCGGGTTCGTCTGGGCTCTGGCTGGGCCACTCAAGGACATTCAGAGACTTGTCCCGAAGCCACTCCTGCGTTGTCTTGGCTGTGTGCTTAGGGTCGTTGTCCTGTTGGAAGTTGAACCTTCGCCCCAGTCTTAGGTTCTGAGCGCTCTGGAGCAGGTTTTCATCAAGGATCTCTCTGTACTTTGCTCCGTTCATCTTTACCCTCGATCCTAACTAGTCTCCCAGTCCCTGCCGCAGAAAACATCCCCACAGCATGATGCTGCCACCACCATGCTTCACCGTAGGGATGGTGCCAGGTTTCCTCCAGACGTGACGCTTGGCATTCAGGCCAAAGTGTTCAGTCTTGGTTTCATCAGACAGGAGAATCTTGTTTCTCATGGTCTGAGAGTCTTTAGATGCCTTTTGGCAAACTCCAAGCGGGCTGTCATGTGCCTTTTTACTGAAGAGTGGCTTCCGTCTGGCCACTCTACCATAAAGGCCTGATTGGTGGAGTGCTACAGAGATGGTTGTCGTTCTGGGAGGTTCTCCCATCTCCACAGAGGAGCTCTGTCAGAGTGACCATTGGGTTCTTGGTCACCTCCCTGGCAAGGCTTCTTCTTCCATTTTAAGAATGATGGAGGCCACTGTGTTCTTGGGGATCTTCAATGCTGCAGAAATCTTTCGGTACCCTTCCCCAGATCTGTGCCTCGACACAATCCTGTCTTGGAGTTCTATGGACAATTCCTTCGACCTCATGGCTTGGTTTTTGTTCTGACATGCACTGTCAACTGTGGGACCTTATATAGACGTGTGTGCCTTTCCAAATCATGTCCAATCAATTGAATTTACCACAGGTGGACTCCAATCAAGGAACATCTCAAGGATGATCAATGGAAACAGGATGTACTTGAGCTGAATTTCGAGTCTCATAGCAAAGGGTCTGAATACTTATGTAAATATGATATTTCTGTTTTTTATTTGTAATACATTTGCAAACATTTCTAAAAACCGTTTTTTTTGCTTTGTCATTATGGGGTATTGTGTGTAGATTGATGAGGATTTGTATTTAATTTTAGAATAAGGCTGTTATCGTAACAATGTGGAAAAAGTCAAGGGGTCTGAATACTTTCCGAATGCACTGTATACAAAAGTATGCGTACACCCCTTCAAATTAGTGGATTCGGCTATTTCAGCCACACTCGTTGCTGACAGGTGTATAAAATCAAGCACACAGCCATACAAACATTGGCAGTAGAATGGCCTTACTGAAGAGCTCAGTGACTTTCAACGTGGCACCGTCATAGGATGCCACCTTTCCAACAATTCAGTTCATCAAATTTCTGCCCTGCAAGAGCTGCCCCGGTCAACTGTAAGTGCTGTTATTGTGAAATGGAAACGTCTAGGAGCAACAATGGCTCAGCAGCGAAGTGGTAGGCCACACGTGCTTAAGCGCGTAGAGTGTAAAAATCGTCTGTCCTCGGTTGCAACACTCACTACTGAGTTCCAAACTGCCTCTGGGAGCAACGTCAGCACAAAAACGGTTATTTGGGAGCTTCATGAAATGGGGTTCCATGGCAGAGCAGCCGCACACAAGCCTAAGATCACCGTGTGCAATGTCAAGCGTCGGCTGGAGCGGTGGAAACGCGTTCTCTGGAGTGATGAATCACGCTTCACCATCTGGCAGTCCGACGGACGAATCTGGGTTCGGCGGATGCGAGGAGAATGCTACCTGCCCCAATGCATAGTGCCAACTGTAAAGTTTGGTGGGAGGAATAATGGTCTGGGGCGGTTTTTCTTGGTTCGGGCTAGGCCCCTTATTTCCAGTGAAGGAAAATATTTACGCTACAGCATACAATGACCTTCTAGACGATTCTGTGCTTCCAACATTGTGGCAACAGTTTGGGGAAAGCCCTATCCTGTTTCAGCATGACAATGCCCCCATGCACAAAGCGAGGTCCATACAGAAATGGTTTGTCAAGATCGGTGTGGAAGAACTTGACTGGCCTGCACAGAGCCCTGACCTCAATCCCATCGAAAACCTTTGGGATGAATTGGAATGCCGATTGCAAGCCAGGCCTAATCGCCCAACATCAGTGCCCGACCTCACTAATGCTCTTGTGGCTGAATGGAAGCAAGTCCCCGCAGCAATGTTCCAACATCTAGTGGAAAGCCTTCCCAGAAGAGTGGAGGCTGTTATTGCGGCAAAGGGGGGACCAACTCTATATTAATGCCCATGATTTTGGAATGAGATGTTCGACGAGCAGGTGTCCACATACTTTTGGTAATGTAGTGTATATTAGTCTGGTACTGCTGTCTGTGGCTTCTCTAAAAGGATATAAGAGGTTTCAGTTGTAGCGTCTCAATGGATGTAGACATTTTATCTAGTTTATGACATGTTTGTCGGTCAGGGAGGAACCACCGTTCACTGCTGCTACGGTAATGTTTGCTCTCAGTCTCACCAAAACTTCTCTAGAAGTCAAACACCCAAAACAATGTGGCAAAGCTGGTCTTGATAACACACATCCTGCCCGTTCACACACGGTGTATCACCATGCTTGTACACGCAAAGCCAGTGAGTAATGTTCATTTGGGTGTAAGTGCATCAGTACGCAAAACCAAAGGAATTCCCCAACTCATTTTATAAGAAGAGGAAACCCACAGTTTCTCGGATCTTCTCAATTTCTTTAGACTTGATGTCATACGATTTCTTTTATTATTGGGCTAAAACAATTCCTTTCAGAGATTACACAGACTGAGTGCATTCCTTTTTATTGGCAGGTTTTAAAAACATCTACGTACTTAAGTTGCTATCTAAAGACTAGTCAAGCTGATCTATGGTTCTCACAGTGCAGGACACTGACCAATGTTGAAGGAAAATAATGTATACACTCTCTATTCCAATAGTTAATTTGCTTTGGTGAGGTAGAGGAACATTTTCCAATGAGCAAATGTACAGTACGAGTCACATTGTGGTCATTCAAAGGGTAAACGTTAAGTCTCTCCATTTATGTTTTTTCACAGGCCTATGCAACAGTAAAGAGTTCTGGAGTTCAGACATAGACCAATGTGTATCCTGCTCAACATGCAAGCAGTATCCAAAGACTCCTTCATGTAACACTTGTAAGTTAAATTATTAGCTAAGGAACATTCAACCTTATCTTACAACTAAATCTTGCAAATAACCAATGCTTTATTGTATGCCTAAAACTGTCCTCTTCGACCAATATGTCCCCTTTCAGGCACATTTACAGAGGAGAGATCTGATGGCTGGAGACTGGCAGCCATTTCCAGCTTCTCTGTGCTGGCAGTCGTTCTGGTCGCTGCAGGATTGATCATTGGGGTCATGTTGCATCGACGCACAGCAAACAATAGGCCCCTTCGTGGTAGGGCTCACGGATACCATCTCCTGATAAACTAACATTGTCAGTCATTAAACTTATTGTAGCATGATGATAGAGGCACACATTTCTTTGTAGCATTTTGACACATTGAGCTCTTTAGGTTCTGGTGAAAATACAGTACAAATGTTCTGCATTTTCTTGTTGTTCTGCAGAACCTATTGAAGAGACAACGGGACCTCTTTACCAAGCTTAAACATTTCAGTAGGTATGCATTCCACAAATGTGTTGATGTGTGAACAATCAATGATAAAGGCTATCAATTATTATACATAATTAAATAAATGTATGTAAGTAGCCTACATACAGTGGGCTCCAAAATTACTGCCACCCCTGACTGGCAATGCACAAACAATACTTTAAAAAATATAAACAATATAATTATAGAGAGAAACTCAAAATACCAATGTGAGAAATACTGTACTTTATTAATGTTTCAATGGAACCAACCAAAATCATACAATTATTTAATACTAAATAAATGTCACCAAAATCAAGGTTTCATAATTATTGGCACTCCTCATTTAGTACTTAGTGCAACCACCTCTGGCAAGGATAACAGCATGGAGTCTTTTCCTGTAATGTTTGACAAGGTTAAGGAACACATTTGGAGGGATTTTGGACCATTCCTCTATGCAGATCCTTTCAAGATCCTTCACATTCTTGGGTTTGCGCTTATCAACTGCCCTCTTCAGCTCAGCCCACAGATTTTCGATTGGACTGAGGTCCGGCGACTGAGATGGCCATGGTAGAACATTGATTTTGTTGTCACAGAACCATTTCTGTGTGGATCTTGAGGTATGTTTTGGGTCATTGTCTTGTTGGAAAGTCCACCTACAGCCAAGTCCCAGCCTTCTGGCAGAGGCAACCAGATTGTCAGCCAAAATTGCCTGATACTTGGTGGAATTCATTATGCCATCAATCTTAACCAGTGCCCCTGGACGTCTGGAATTAAAACAGCCTCAAAACATCACTGACCCACCACCATATTTCACTGTGGGTATGAGGTGCCTCTCCTTGTATGCATCTCCGTTTCGACGCCAAACATGCCGATGCTGTATCTGACCAAAACATTCAATTTTGGTCTCATCTGACCAGAGCACCTTCTTCCAGTCATAATTTAAATGACGTTTGGCAAACTCAGAAAGGGCTTTCTTCTGTCAACCCTTCCAAAGAGCCTGTGGTTGTGGCGGTGGCGTCTGATGGTGCTTTTTGAAACCTGGTGACCCCAAGACGCCACCAAGGCCTGCAATTCTTTCACAGTGATTCTTGGGGATTTTGTTGCTTCTCTCACCATCCTCCTCCCTATCCTGGGGGGCAAAATGCATTTGCGTCCTCTACCCGCGAGGTTTTCAACTGTTCCATATCTTTTTAATAATTGCCCTGACAGTGCTCAGTGGTATATTCAATTGTTTGTGGATCTTCTTGTAGCCATTACCAGATTTATGAAGGTCTACAACCGTCTGTCTCTTTTGAACTGCCAGTTCTTTTGTTTTCTTCATGGTGTTGGATGACAAAGGGATATTGCATGCGTGTTACCTCATTACTATACCCTAGTGAAACGGGAAGTGATGTAATGGCTCAGTATAGTTCCTTAAGACTTAGATCAACTTAAATAAGTGGAATTTAATTCCTGGTTTAATTTTGGTAGATGTTATTTACAATACTCTTTAAGGGTGCCATTAATTGTGAAACCTTGATTTGGAGGACATTGATTTTTAATTAAATCAATAAATTATTTTGGTTGGTTCCATTGAAACATTAATAAAGTACAGTATTTCTCATGTTGGTATTTTGAGTTTCTCTATAATTATATTGTTTATATTTTTTAAAGTATTGTTTGTGCATTGCCAGTCAGGGGTGGCAGTAATTTTGGAGCCCACTGTAAGTCTGCAAATATTTCTGTACAAATTGTAATTGTTTTGAAATAATGTGGGATGCTGAGAGTGAATGAACCAACAAATCTCTCATTACTTCCTCAGCCTCATCTTCATCTTCCTCCTGACATCGACGTGACAGAACCAAGGGAACACCTTTTGATGACCAATCGTCAGAAGAATTTTTGTACAATGGACTGTGGGTATTATTCGAGTAGAGTTGGACCATTTGAATTGATTATACTGCTAGTTAGTAAAGATGTGCTCACACTCATTATAGACTGTTACAGAACGGAGCTCTCACATAGAACTGTGTTAACTCATGCTGTCAAGCCCATGTCTTGTCTGAAGTCAGACTGTACTCTGAGGAAGACCAGGTGGTTAGTAAAGAGTAGCTCACAGCTCTTTTTGTATTGATGTCCTTTGAGTAGTGATGCTAGTTTTAGCCAGTGTAGATATTCCTATCTATTCGATAAGTCATTTCTTCAACAATAAGTAGGTTCAAAAACAGTAGTGAACATGAGACACATCTTGAATGATTTGGATTTATTACCATAACTGTCCATGCTTGACCACCTATTACTGTATTGGTGTCGGACATACTGTACATTTAGCCTATTAGGTCGAATACCAGCTAACACACTGCCTCGACTTGCCACAAGCAGGATAAATGTGAATACAGCACAATCAAACTTTCTGGGCTAGGTTTGACCAACTGTACTTCTAAGACTAAAAGGTTTCTATTTGCTGGTCATATATAACAACCTCTTGGTAATGAAGTATACAAGTGATATGTTAGATGAGTGGTCACCAACCGGTCGATCTACAAGGCATTCCTAGTTGATCACCAAACATTTCTGTAAAAAAAACAACGATTAAGCCTTGCTTCCTATTTTCTTTATTAGTTTTGCGCTGTTGGCGGTAGGTGCATTTTGATTCAGCAGCCCTAGCGCCGAGAAGGTAGTGTTCCCATTTTGAACATTTCATGTGTCTGAAGGTAGAACTCTGCCTACCTGGCAGGCCCAGAGAGCAAATCAAGTGTACCTATATGCCTACCGCTGGCCAATCAGATAGCTCAGATTACCGTGTCTGCACAGTTTCCTCGAGCCATAGACTGTAAAAAGAAGCTTGACTGCACAGCAAAGTTGATACTGTGAGATTTCAAAACGTTTCAAACCCTGACTAGAGACTCAACGCATACAGCAAAGAGCTGCTGTTTTTGAGTAAGTTCATGTTTAAGTTGTTATTCAGCACTGTCAACACTTTGTTCAACACTTTTATAAAGTGCATTAAAATGTGCATTCTCCCTACTTCCACTCACGCTACAACCAGCACTGCAGCTGCAATGAATGACTATAGGAAAGTGTTCCGATACGCTTGCGTTGTTATTATTAGCGGCTTGTGTCTTTTTAATATCAAGGAATGTTTCACTTTTTCTGGTTATAGGAGTAACAACATGAATTGGTGCATGAGGCAGAAATATTGCAGTGCGACTTGAGTTTTGCCATCAGCTGGAATCAGCGGAGGGACGGTGAATCGGGTGAGAAGCAGCCTCACCGCTGCTCCCTCCCTCCCCTCAGACTGACCATCCGATGCAGGCCAAGAGTCCAGTAAAAATAAAAGGAATTATTATGCTCACTCAGCAGTGCCTCACAAGTAATACAACAAATTATATATTACCAGTGTGATCCTATACCATTTAATATATATAATTTTCAAAATGGTCTGAGAAGAACAACATTGGCAGGGCAATTCAATCATAGCCAATATGCAGTAATAATGTATTGGGCCTATAGCCTACTGCACAAACATCATTACTACAGAATCCCCATCAAAATCTGTCAGTTTAAACTAGATATCAGTTTTTTTGCATTGGATGTGTCTCAATCCACTGCATCCGCCTATGTCGCACTTCCGCATCTGCAGTGAAAGGTGGCAGAGCTAGAGCGGTAACCATGAGACATTACGAAAATCGGTCTTCTCACAAAAACGTCTGTAGCGTCCGAACGGTTTGCACTACAAACTCTATGGAAAGGGGAGACTCACGAACACTATGGTGTTCTCTGTTTTGCTCTACAAGCCCCACAAGTGTCACGGGACTCCTGTGAAGGTAAACGGTTCCGGTTTTAAAAAATGAATGGAAGTTTTGTGCCTACCCCAAAAAAGGGTTAAATATGTGTAAAAAAAAATGTTTTATATAATATATTTCCTGAGCTTTCTTCTCATAGATCTCGGCTTGCATTTTGACTCAGTGATCTTGACTAAGAAAAGGTTGGTGACCACTGTGTTAGATTATAAATTCATTTTGGGCCATTTGAATAAATTAATGTTGGGCACATTTGGGCCATTTGAATGTACTTTTAGGGCCATTTATCCAGTCTGTGCTTGCATGTAGGCCAGGGTTCTTCAACTCCGGTCCTGGAGGGCCGAAACACTTCTGTTTTTTTCCCCCCAGAATTCTGTGGGAATGCGTTTGTATAGTTTATATCTAAGCATTTAAATCCTTCCCAGATCGACACAAATAGGGAGTCCTTAGCACTATGCTCTGATTCAGAGGGGTTGGGTTAAACGAGGAAGACATATTTCGGTTGAATGAATTCAGTAGTGCAACTGACTAGGTATTCCCTTTCCTGAGTCAATGCTTGTGTGACAGAATATTTCTAACACTATTAGTCACCGAATGTCAACCCAGGAAGGAACATTTCGGTTTAGCAAAAACAAACTGAACCCTATTGACAAGTATAACTGTGTACTCGGCTTCAAACTAACTCGGAACACAATTTTAGGGGTTGTGTGTCAGGAGAATGTGGATGGCTGAATAATTACCTATTCCATAATACTGACAAAATTACTTCGTTATCAATATTAAGTGGATATGGATACCAGCAGCAAGAAAAGGTCAATTTGACAATTTTTATACATACATTATTTTTATATATTTATAATTATATATTTTTGAACGTTTATAGTTACTTTGTGGTAACAGCTAAATGTATGGATAAATACTGTCGAAGGGATCCCTGCAAAGTTGTTTGTAAAACCTGTGACACCAGCTGACCAACTTTATTTGTCACTGAGCAATAACTAACAATTTGTTAGTTCATTTACTTTTCTTGTCTGTTAGATTTATGTACATGGGCTAGTATAGTAATAAGCAATGTTACTAGTGAACTCTGGCTGACTTTTGTATTATGTTAAGAATAAAATGAACTCCCATAAACTGATTTTCTTGATGTATCTACCTTGTATTAAGTTGTTCAACAACTCTGCAAATGTACACAACCAGATACTGCGTGTAGGAGACTGGCATTGGTTT